TTTTCAGGGGGTCAAACTTATAAGTAACTGTTGGCAAATATGTCGGGGGTCCAAGGGGGCATGCCCACTGGCGGGGTTCGACCTAACAAATTTTGATTTACTATCTCTCTTTGTATTTAGTTCATCGTTCTCTAACAATAATATATCTATATAATATGTTTAATTACATTGAGGGCAGTTGCCTAAAGACCATAGTATTTTAAAATTTTTAGAGGGGGCAATTGCCTAAAAATTTTATAATAAAGACTAAAAAAAAGATTGAGGGGGACAAATTGCCAAAAGAATCATATAATAAAAAAATTATTTTTTTAGAGGGGCAATTGCCCCCAGGGCTCAAGGGGGTTCTGCCCGTGATAATATTAGTCTCAAAATAAATTAAAAAAAATTAAAGACATTCTTATACACATTTTAATAGGATATACTGTCACAGTGTCACTATATCTTAGCTATCAAATTATTAAATTATAATTTTTATCAGTTACAAATCATATTTCATGAGATATATAATTTTAAATTGAAGATTCGATTCTATAGTCAGATAGATGAACAGTGGTTTCATATACTGCGAGTCTGTCTCCTTTTTAGTAATCTTCAAGATTGGTTTAAGAAGAAATTTTTGTTTGAAAGCGTAATTAATTAATTAATTAAAGGTTAATTAATGTTGACTAATCTTACAGTGAATCTCAGATAGATCTCATTCTTTCATTTTTATTATAAATTAATTAGGATACTTATTCCTGAACTAAAAGTCATTAGTGACAGCTGCTTCAGATCAAATTTCGTCACCGATGATAAATAGAGATGAGATATGGATTATTAGTGATGAAATTCTTTATTGCTAGTGAGACTTTTTCATGCGGTGTGATATACCATCTTCTTTCACGAATATATATTTAATTAAGATTACATATAATTAATCTTAAGACAAAGAAAGGATCAACTGATTATTATTCATAAGTAATCATTTAATTAGGTAGAACTCTGATTTTCTCATGATTAGCTGAACAAGCCTAAAAAATACTCTTTGCTTCTTCATCGATATGTGATTGAAACTGCTCAAAGCCTTAAAGCTGGTTGAGTGAGATTTTATATGAAATTTCTATAATCAACCTTCGGAAAGGAATTAAAGCTTCTCATATCGTCCTATACTTCTGTGGCTGTGATTTTGACCCAGTTAAGCCCCGCTTTTGCTCCCATCTTTTGCTCTAATAAACAAACTAGTGTGCAAACAAGTTGAGTCAAGCTCGATTAAAAAAAAAAAAAAAAAGTTGAGTCAAGCTTAAGCGAGGGGGTGTTCGAGTCGAGCTCGATTGCCAAATATCGAGCTTGAGCTCGACGCGTCTCACGTCGAGCTGCTCTTCGAGCTCCTTCCCGACCTCCGTCGTTGAGCGTCGTCCTGAGCAGGCTAGTAGCACACGAGCTCCATCGACCGTCGAGCTCCGTCGTTCTGAGCAGGGCTAGCCCACCGCTAGTAGCACGCGAGCTCTGGCTTCCTCATCCCGAGCTACGCCATCGTCCTGAGTTCCGCTGTCAAGCAACACGCGAACTTGGTCGCTTTGATTTTCCCGCCCGGTCATTGATTCATCCTCCCTCCCGCCCAAACCGAAGTTTCGTTTTCCCGCCCGGTCACCTCAACGAGCTGCTCGACGAGCTGATGAGTCGAGTGGAGATCTGTTCGAGCTCAAGCTCGATAAGCCATCGATATCAAGCTCGAAATCATATTCGAGTTCGACTCATCTAGCCTAACCAAGTCTACTACGAGACGGATCAAGAGTCGGCTTGACTCCGTTGCACCCCTAAAACAAACAAAGCATATAGGCCATGGTTCATTAAATCTTTTGGTGTTTCTCTCTGTATCTCACTAATCTAGCTCCTCTCTCTCTCTCTCTCTCTCTCTCTCTCATTTTGTCTAAAGATTGTTGGACTTATTAGAGTTATGTATTACATTGCCAAACCAATATATATTATCATATTGACTTAGATTTATAAAAGAAGTACATAATATTCATTATTATTATATATTCTTATGCATATTGAGTGTATTATTTATTATATCACATTATTTTATTGCTCACTTTTCTTATTTTTATATAGTCATATTTTTCATAAATATTAATCAAATAAATATATATTGTCATATAAATTTTTTCATAATTACTGATTATAATTAGAGTAATTATAATTAAAAAATAGAAGACGTTCAAGTTTTTAGATGAGAACAAAAATTGTCTATGATATTGTTTTCTATTTCTATTGAATACATTCAAATTTGTTAGCTTTTGTACGTCTTCAACTTGTATATATTTTACTAATTTTAGTCTTCTACGTCCTAATGAGAAGATTCTGATCTAATTTTTTCCAAGTTGAAAAGAGTTAAAAGAGAATATGAAGAGGCTAGTTGGCTATTGGTGTTGGTAGATATAAAATTATATCATATATATATATATATATATATATATTTCTCATGAATAAACCACCATTATTAGGATGATTAGGTTGGACAAATTAGCCAAAATTTACTATATTCTCAAGTTGGTTTGATTGATTTATCTGAATTATATAGTTTTGATATTAAATTTATTTTTTTTCAAATAATATTAAAAATAGAATTTTAAAATTCAATATCCCGGTAACTCACCATAAAAAACGGATTACTTTCGTAGCACTTGATAGTGGTCCATTTTAAAACCACCACTATAGAGTTCTTTCGCCAGCAGTTTAACCCCCCACTTTTAGCAGCTATTTAAATACCCCTTATAATTGATGCACATTAATAAAGAATAATACCATTCATTCTAAATTCAAACAATATTCAAATAACAAAAAAAAAAAACATCATCATAACTTTATTGAACATATCGTCACACAATTATAAGAGCTAGATGTAGTCAATTCAAAATGGAAAGTAAATTATTATTCTTAAAGAAGAGAAGCTTAGGCTTCGTTTGGTACGACTTTTTTGCTGATTCTTAAAGCAGCTTTCTAGTACAAAAACGCTATTTTAAGAAGCAGTAAGAAAGCCGTCTCAAACAATGCCTTAATCACCTGATATGGTATGCCTATTCAGTATATAGTTAGAACTTAATAAAGCCAAAGAGCTATTAATTCTCAACCACATCCTAACCAGTAATTAATCATATAACTATATAAAACTTAAAACTTTCAATAAATCGATTGATTATTGACACTCATCATATACTTAATCAATAATTAACACTCATGATGAAATATTCAAGAGTTCACAAAGATTATGGGGTGGTCCTTCACTTGGTTGGTTTGATGGAGCCATCAAGATCAATTGAGCTCAATTATTATGCATGTGAAGGATTCCTCTAGCTATAGCAAGCCCAATTCAATTAATGATGTCTAACCACTAGAACATGGAATCAGGATTGTAATGCTTAACCATATACATGATACATATATATGCATGGTGTCCTTCAACTACTCAAAAATGGAAGGAATGATTGTTTCCAACTCACCCACTTCATTGTTGTCCTACTCATACTTGCACCAACTAATATATATGCCCCGTAGCTATAGAAATTATTCATTAAGGCTCCTCTCCCAAAACAGGCCGTAGGGCTACATGCATGGCCAGCGACTTAGCTGGAGTGAGGGGGAGGATATCTACCATCCATAGTACAATGGCAGATCTTGCACAATTTTATCAATTTCTTACTATCACTTTTCTTTCAAATGAATTAAATGTTGGTGGTTCAAAATAAGCATTTCACTTTATTGAACTAATTTTAGTTGCAATGTGAGTAGACAATAAACTTCTACATAGTACTTGATGTGCATATTTTCTATAAATATCAATAGTTATGTGAATTAAAAATCAAATTTTTATATAGTTCATTTTTGTATGTAGGGGAGGAGCCAGGAAGAGCTTATGGTGGGCAATTGCCTAAATGCTAAGAAAAAAAATTATTTTTTCTATTTCATACATAAAATTATGTATTTTATAATCATATTTTGCCCACCCTCAAAATAGAGGATAGTTCCGTGGCTGCCCATATGCGTGTCTTAATAATCAAAGTCTTATGTAAAAAATTATTTAGATGATGCATGCAGTACTCTTTATATATATTACCGTTTGCATCATGCTCAAAAATATTTTTGATAACATAATGGTAGCATAAGATAAGTCACCAATTATATATATATATATATATATGCTTGCTTAGTTGTAGGAGCTAATTATATGAGCTTTAAATTGTATAGATAATTTTTTTCAGAGTCAACCTTCATTATTAACCTTTATATTAAGGTCGTGGTGAAAAATCAAGGGGTTAATTCCCAAAGGACTAAAATTTCTGCTTTTATCATATAAGATTATCTTAATTAATCATAATAAAATTAATATAAAAATTATATTAATAGCTTACGAATTGGATTGTTTCTTTTGTTTCAATTTTTTAACTATTTTAAATATTTTAAAAATAACTTAATATATTTAAGATAAGATATTAAATAAAATATTTTCTTACATAACAAAATCCTTTAGCATTTATTGTGCCACATAAAAGCATAATAAAATAATGGTTTCATATAAAAAATTGAGAAACATAGCTATATAGCCTATATTCTAACAAATATATATTAAATAAAAGTATTTTAAGAATCATTCAAAGCATCTATGATCGATATGCCTTATAAATATTTGTCTTTTCATACTTAATTATACTATAAATATCTATCGACATAATTTTTTAAATTATTTTTATATTCACCCAAATCAAATAATCAATACATATTTAACATAATTTTATTCTTATTTTTACATCTGACAGTCTTTCCCTATATAACATAGCAAATAATCAACATATTTAAATAAATCAATATTGTTCACACTTTTAAAAAGGAAAAAGGATTTGCTCAGCATGCTCGCTAAGATTTACATGTGAAACCACGTAGTCATATCTCTATACTCCACGTGGTCCCTCACAACTGGACCAAAGTAGTCCTATTTATCTTCTCCTCAGTCCAATAGAAGGATTTGTCAACCACTCTCTCTTCCCCCCTCATCTCCTCTTCCCCACTCATTCCTTCCTTCTCCCCTCCCACTCTCTCTTTCTCTTTATCTTCATCTTCCTCCCTCTTCCCTTCAATTAATCATGAACCAAGCCGTCGAAGATTCTTACAACGCCAGTCTAGTTCTTCAGCTAGCTTGCGGTGCCGGCTCGACCGGTGTTGTCTCAACCGGACACCGACGATGCCGAAGGCGAGATTTTTCGAAGAAATCAGAGCCATCAATACAGATTCCGATGCTCTCCGGCCCATCTCTGACCCTTGGAATCTCTGACTCAGTCTACAGCCAATCATTCGCCGAGGCTTCTCTCTCCACCTCCTTCTTGAACGTGAAGAAGGAGGCCGAAGCCAGAAGCGAAGAAACTGAGAAGTTCTCGCCGAGAGGTAGTGATGAAGAAGATGAAGGAAGCTGTAGGAAGAAGCTGAGACTTTCTAAAGAGCAGTCTGCTCTTTTAGAGGAGAAGTTCAGAGAGCACAGCACACTTAATCCGGTGAATTATCTGTCTCATATGCTCGCTAATTTCAATTTATTTTGAATTAACCATAGCTAATTATGGTTATTAAACTTTTCTCTCTCTCTCTCTCTCTCTCTCTCTCTGTGCGATTTTCACAACAGAAGCAAAAGCTAACGTTGGCGAAGCAATTGAATCTAAGGCCACGACAGGTGGAGGTGTGGTTTCAGAACAGGAGAGCAAGGTTTATTTTCAATTCTCTCCATATTTTCTATCTTTCTTTTGTTTAATTACTGAAAATAATGGAAAAGAAATCGGGTCGGTCCATTTGTAGTTAAATTCAGCTGAACTGGTTCTTTTTATTTATAATTAATGACTATTTTTTTAAGAGAATTATCTATCAATGTTTTGATTGTTATCACGTTTAATGAAAAGAGAAGCCTCCCCACTCGATTAAATTTTCTTGCCATTATTTCTTGAAATTAAATTTAAATTCTTATAAAACATATTATAATTACTGATATAGAATTTTTTAATTCAATGATTTTTCTCGTTAGAAACTGAATAAGATTATTGCTACCACGCTTCAATTTTTAGTCACCACTTCCCCCCTCTCTCTCTCCATATATATTTGGATCCTCAATGGATAGAAGATGTAATTTGCAGAACAAAGCTGAAGCAAACTGAAGTGGACTGCGAGTTTCTCCGGCGATACTGTGAAGCCTTGACAGAGGAGAACATAAAGCTAAAAAGAGAGCTGCAGGAGCAGAAGGCTCTGAACCTGACGTCGGCAGCGGTGGCGCCGATGTATATGAAACTACCGGCGGTGACATATACCATCTGCCCTTCTTGTGAGAGGGTCACCGGTCCCGGCGGCGATGGGACTAAAACTATATCTTTTACGGCGGCGGCGACGGCTATGGTGGCTAAGAAGACGCTGTTCTTGAACCCTTTCAGCCATTCAGCTACCTGCTAGCTGACGAATATCAGGGGAATAAATTACAATTATTAGTAGCTTGAACACATTAATAGAAATTCATAGCTTGTTTTTTTTTTAAAAGCTAGGGTTGTGGGCAGCTTTTTTAGGCGAGCTTAGCTGAAAAAATTCTTGTATTTTTCATCAGTATATATTTTGTTTGATATTATTACTTGGTCTTGATATTAATTAAGCTAAACTATGCTAATATAAAATTAATCTCTCATACTAATTAGCGTTTGATTAGTTCATCATTAGTGCAGATGATCGCTGCAAGAAAATTCGCCTTTTCCGACCAAAATATAAGCTAAAAATAATATAATTAGGCAGAAAATATTATTATGAATATTGAATGATTAAGAGGATATATGATAAGATATATAGCTATGTTGTGTATTATTTTGATTAAAAGTGGATTAATATTTTGTTAAGGAGATTGAATACTATAAATCCATTGGTGAAATAGTTATATGTATAAATAAAATTATTGTTATGTATGTAAATTAAAGTGAGGGAAAATATTTAAACATAAATAAATAGAAGATTTAATTGACTTACGGGTAGCAGTATTTATGCCCTTATTTATCTAAATCGTATGGGCATTATTTATTGATTTTCAAAAGTTTTTTTTTTTTTTTTTGTGCTTCATAAAATTAAAAATATATATAGAAAACGGAGATGAGAAAAATTGTGATAAATTTAAAGTATAAAATCAGAACCAATAGGCGATTTAAAACTTTTAAAAGATGTACGAGATTCAAATATTTAACAACTATCATTGTTGTACTAATTAATTTGATCTGTATAAAAGAAAAAATTTATAGATATTGTTCATATTGAAGGCTTAATTATGTGGTAAGGGTTCTCTCTCTCTCTCTCTCTCTCTCTATATATATATATATATATATATATAATTTTTTACTATTAAAAAAAATAAATTGTAAAATATTCTGACTCCCTAATTGAATAAGAAGTTTATTTCTCAAAAGTTCTAAATTTATTATAATTGTTATTTTATTTTCTCCTTCGTCTGTGGAGCATGTTTCATTTTTCCTTCGCTCCTCTCACACGACTCGCGACCTCGAGTAGATATCTCTTCCGCGTGCACACGGAGACCGTCCCGGACCGTACCCAAATGGTTTATTTTCCCTCAACCCAAACGGTTTGCTTCGTTTTCCTATTTTCTCCTCTCTCGCGACTCACGACCTCGAGCATGACTTTCACTTTCCATTTTGCGCCTCTCTCGCCCCCAAACGGAGACCGCCCGTGATAAATATTTATGTATTCTAAACTCTAAGGCCCATATTATTTACATTCTGAATGTTGATCTTATAATAACTCCTCTTGGCTCAGGTAATGAAACGACAAACGAAATTATTTTAATGCATTCTAAGTTTCTAACATTTCAGATAAGATGTCAAACATAGCTATTTTAAATTTAGACTTCTATGAATAAAATTTCTTACTCCTCCACTATATATAAGCAATATTATATAATGATAAAATCTTGAAAACTCGAGAGTGATTAGTTAAGCTATACCTATACAGCACAAGGAGCGTAGCACATAGAGCCAAGAAGGGAATTTGAGTCGAAACATGATAATGACCGTAAATGGTCCTCCCAACGTCGGCGAAATAGGATAGAAAGCTAAACGCGACCTTTTTAATTTGTTCCATACATACAGAACACATAAAACCCTCCAAAGTCCAAAAATGTGGGAAATTACTATGGAGCCACAGGGTCACGTGATGAGAGAGAAAGAGGCTCCGAGGCGAGGAGCAGTGGGAAAGCGTGTGGGGGCGAGAAATTTATGATTGAAATCAAATCCAATAAAACAGAGTGGGGCCAGGTGCGCTCGTGAGGCGGACGCGATTCCGTTTGCTTGCTCCGTAAGATATCCGAAGAATGATGTTCCTTGAAACGGGACGGGAAAGTATCAAACGGGACGGGATATTAATAATTATGGCATTATAGAATAAAAAGTATAAAATTTATTATTTTTATTTTTATTATTCAAATGAAATAAATAAAAGAGCATTTGTTCTGAATATGACATTATGATATATTAAATATATATGTATTATTTTTTTAATGTTATATTTTTAAAAGCTTCTTAAAATATTAAAAAATATATATTTTTTTTTAATAATTCATATGTTTATTGACTAAATTTGATTTAAGAAACAGTAAGAAAGCCACCCCAAACGAACCCTATATCTAACATTTTTAGATTTCTTATTATCTCTACATACCTCCATTCCATAAGTTGTTTGTAACATTATATAGATATAAAAATAATAATAATTTGAAACAACAAATAATGACAAGTTGTCATTTAATATTAGTCCTAGGCTTAAGCTACGAATCTTTTGATATAATTTCAGTCAATTTGGTCATTAAAATTTGGATTCATTACCTCCATTAAATTTATAACAATGAGAGTTTTGAATATTATATTTTGTCAGGCAATCAGAGGCATCATTCATGACTTTCATGATACAATCACCCTTAACAATTTATTTTTACATGTACAATTGTGATCATTTGCTTTGAAAGTAATTGCCTCAAAATTCTCTCGAATACCATTGATATATCATCAAAAATTTATCTTGGTCGGGCACGAATCTCGAGGCAAAATGAAGTTGAAAGCTTCTAAAATCAAACCAGGGACCATCAAAACTCTGATCTCAGCAAACTTATAGTCGAACTGAACGTATCAAAAAGACAAACCCAACTACATTAAAATAAGTCCAATCCGAGCCCAAATCAAGGGTTCAAAGCACTTTTGGGAGGTTCAAACTATAATTTGGATTACCAAACGAGTTTCAAACATGACATGTTTATAATAGAATCGAGCGGCTTGACGAGACAAATCCAACGAGCTCAAGATCACTAAATTCTAAAATCATTAAGGCATCCAATTGACCAATAAATAATCTATGATCAAGGGAATTGATATCTGTGTTGGCCTTGATTTTCATCCAAACTTGGGTCAAGGAGTTTCACTTGGTCAAATTGACCAAGCCATATCCCAAGACCTCTTCTCTTGGGTTTAATGGGTCAAACCAAATCTATTGAGCCCAGACTTATGCCCTATGTCAACCTGTTTGACCAAAATTGACCCAAACCCCTTGCTTTTGATTCCAAATCAATTTAATCTATCTTTGGTTCAATCACACGCCTCTCTTTGTCTTAGTGGGTCAAACCCAACCTATTGAGCCCAGACATAGGCTCTGGGTCAACCTGGTTGACCAGGTCAACCTAGGTTGATCCATTAAGCCATCTTGGGCTCAAACCCCCACCCCTTTGGGTTTAATTGATTAGGTTGACCAGGTCAACCATTGACTTGGTCAACCCAAGTCTCCCTTAGGTAAAATTGACCCATTTAAGTCAATTTAAACCCATTGAATGCCCTAAATGCTTTCCTATTGCTTCATTCAAACCACGACCAAATTACCTCCCTCCCTCCTAATGCAATATAGATTCAATCCTAGTCATCCATCATAGGGTTAGGAGTATATATATGAGTTTTAGAATTCTTTGAAGGTACCTTTTACTATTTTCTCTCTCTCCAAGCCCCCTCAGCCCGAGAGCTCTTGTGTGAGAGTTCTTCTAGACCTCTTCTACCTTCCCCAAGTCAAGCTAGTCACTTAAACCTCACCGGCAGCAATATCTCTGATGAACCTAGCCTAAGAACCTTCTAAAGCTGTTTGCGATCGATCCAGACGTTGGGAGCTCGAGGATCCTTCTACAAATTTATTCGTGGAGAGTCTAAAAGCTCAGAGAATCTATTATTTCCTAAATTCCACTATGAGATTCTTCAAAAATCTTAGATCTAGATCACAATACTTGGATTTATATAACTTACTAATAAGTGCTTTTCAGATATTCCAAACACCACCCCATGATTTCTATTCATGTGTATACCTTAGGTTTAAAATTTCATGAAGATCCATTGAGTCGTTTGCAAGAACAAAGCGAAAAATCATTCTAGGGTTTTGGTTCGGTCCTGTTGAACTGCGCAAGATCTCATCCATTGATTTCTTTATCAACATATGTGATATTGTCCTTTGGCGTTCGGTCCGAACAACACATCCCGTTATGTCGGACGAGCTCCCATTCGGCTCGATCACATCCATCCATTCGGATTAGCGGATCTGACAGCACCCACGCATGCTGACTCGACTAAGAGAAAAGCATGTGGGTCCTACTATTTCAACTATCATATAGCAATGATTGATGGTGGCGCCAATCATTACCAATAATTGGGCACCGCCACTACGATTTGGGGGACGAATCACGAGCCACCAAGTGTCTATAGCCGTCGATTTGATTTGATTTTCATTTTAAAATTTTTTTTAATTATTTTTAAACCTATTTTTCTTCAAATAATTATTTAAAAATATTTTTAAATCCAAAAAATTAGTATAATATATCATTTTCTTTAAAAAATTATTATCTTTAATTTAAAAATAAAATTATTTTAAATTATTAATTACATTTTAAATTATTTTAAATACTATATATTTTTAATTAATAATTAATTATAAATAGTTAAAATATTTCATAATATAAAAAATTCTATTTTAAAATAATATTTTTATTATTTCAGAGAGATGTCTGAAGATATTAAAAATTAATGTTTTTTAGATATTTTTCATTTATTTAACTATTTAATTTTAATTATTATTTAAATAAATATTATATTAAATATTTTAAAATAAAAATTTATTTTGAAATCTTCTCTTGGCTGATCAGTGGATCTCTTACATATTTATGTATTTATATACATTAAATTATTTGTAATTATATTATTTTCTAAAATTTATATATTTACTATATCTATTTTAAATTATTTTAAAATTATGTATATATTAAAGCCCCAAATTTTGAGAGATCCACTTCATGAAATTATAAATATTGATTACATATGTGAATAAAAATCATGAGGGTTGGATTAGTGAATGATTGAGTTTCAATCATTCACTAATCGCATCAATATGTATGCTTAATTACTTGTTTAGTCATCTTTTACATGTATATGATGCACAAGTATCTAATTTAGGTTCTCATAAATCTAAGAATATGATGTGTTATATTTTTATGCATCTCCCTTTATGTTATCCCAAGGGTTAGTCTCTAACATTCGATTTAAACCTGCTTAATATAGTGACACCCTAAGGATAATAATT